CGGACAACAACTAAGGACGATGAAGCGACGAGGCGCTGCTCATCGTTTCTTGTATTATTCTTTAATGCATTTTTATATCCGCGTATATTCGACGTTTATTCCTTCGTGTCGCGCGTATTGTCTATGTATGATAAAGGTTATATTACCCAATTTTGAGATGATCGACGATGCGACAAGTGCGACGGAACAACGTTAGCTGACCTAAAAATCAACGCCTGGTGGTATTCACGCTATCTGCTATCCGCCAAAGTTGGGGTATTTAGCAATATTTGCTGGCAGCATAATTACCCAACTAGCGCGCACTGGAGATACATGAGGATACGAACCAGAAATACAAATAATTATTTGTTGTTGGGCAAAGCGACCTGAGGAACCAACAAAGCAATCCCTCCTCCACAACACACTTGCCCTGGAAATTACTCAAGCCTTTAAATAAATATACTTCAGCCATCGCTTCAGATGGTAGTACTATCGTCTTGCAACATCTCCCACTGTGAATGAATAACTCCCGGTGATGACACTTCACATTCTTCGCCACTTCATAACATCGTCCAAAAATTCTTTCACGGCTACGCAGCTAACTTGGACTAAATCGGTCCGAGAATAAACAGCTGCAAAGACACAATGATACCTACACATTAAAAAATTTTTTTAGAGCCTCTTAAATGTCGGATACCGGGACAACTGTTGTTGCACAGTCTGAATTCCCACCCGTGTGTTCGTCAACTTTCCCACCGACAAGTACCTTATCATTTCTACACTGCACAGCATTTCAAACTCCTTTCAAAAAAATAAATGAATGGTTAGCGCACAGACTGCGAGTGCGAAAATGTGTTCTTTGCACAGTTCCCCAGCCTTTTGCCGCCAACGACATTGTTTTTTTTCGGCAGATGCTTCTAGCTGAAAGGATTGAAAATGGCCACCACGACTGGGAGAAAACATTTACAATAATGGATGCGACACGCCAAGTCTCCTTCACTCTACCACCCTTCCCTCTCCCGCTTTCTTCCCTCCCCTTCCTCCTCATCATAACCAGTGCTCGTCCCTCAACTTTTGCCAGTGACAATGTTTCGCATCCGTATGTCACTGCTCTCTAGCACAATAGCATCAGAAGTAGACAAAGTCCTTAAGGTCCAACACTTTAAAAAAATCAACAGTGCTGTGAAATTTATCTCAGAATATAGTCCTTTCCCA